AGGCTTCTTTAAAAACATTTTCGAATTAGGGTTTAACTGGGGCACTGCCTTGACTTCTGATGTCTGCGGATTTCTGAGTCTGTGTAAGAGGAATGTTAGCTGATTCGGACACCGTTATCATTTTATTTCCCTGGGCAGTGTCGTATTGCAAGATACAGGGTCTGGCATGGGGTGTTTAATGCCTTTGCGGGTGCTTGTTTAAATCTCTCCAACCACAAGGTGGAACACGAAAAGGACCTCTGAAATCCCATTATTCTGGTAAGGGATACGTCTTTCAAGCTAAGGCCTGCATAGTGACCGCCGTTTGCAAACGCCGCCAGAGAGCAGCTCACATGGAACCAATGTTGTTCTGGAAATTCATTGGTCTTTCGTGAAGTACGAGATTGTCGCTGAATCTCATCAATGTTGTGCTTCTATTGAGTGCCATACTCATTCACTGCTCTCACTTATACAGACTAATGTAGCGAAGGTATCCTATTCATGCATCCGCGGTTGGACGGCACGACTAAAAAAAAAATTTTGCGGGCAGGTTGCCTTAAGACATATTGGAAAGCAAATAATGTTTCGTAGGTGTGCGTTATCAGAAGATTTCAATACATTCACACACAATCAGTTTTATCATTAAGCGAAACGCTGATGCATCTTATTTTCAAAAACACCGTATGAATTTGAACGACTTTTTTTCGTCCACAGGCTTAGAAAATGAGATTACGGAATGTCAGCTCCACTACCTGCATGCCGGGAAAGGCAGTAGATCGGAATCTGGATGCTATTGTGATCCTGAAGTCTGCTGTCTACAATTTTGCAGATCGTGATCGTATACGAAGAACGTATGCCAAAGAGAACTAGCGTGAACCTGAATACCGCATGGCTATGGTCTTCTCCGTAGGTCTACCCTGCAGCATCGGAGGTCGTTTCTTCCAAAGCGACGGCTTTAACATCCCTCTGCCAAACCGGGCAGGTGAGGCCATGGAGAAGATGCAATTAAAGAGGTCTGAAGTTCTGAGAAAACTGATAGAAGAAGCTCGAGTAAATGGTGACCTCTTAATGGGTAATTACGGGGACACCTACAACAATATCAACCTCAAAATATTTCACACATTTCAATGGGCCTCTAGGGTCTGTGGCCCGCATTTCACCACCCAAAAACGACTTACTGTTTTCGTCATTCAAAGTGATGACTATGCTTTCAATTCAAGTCGTATGAAGACCGAATTGTGGGCCCTCACATATGCGCCTATACGACGAGTAACTTCAGGCTTGCCGCGTAATCGTTCAAGTGCGGTTCGTCCTTTGAAGTTAAAGGCTTTCTAAATGTGGTCCCTCTCCAGACGTGAGGGGCCCTGCCCTTACTTCCCTCCTCATGCTCGCGGCTGCTTTTCTGCCATGCGCGCTGATGTTTTCCAGGAAATTGTCCTTACCATGTACTTCGCCTTCCATTTCCCAGTAGATGATGCCCGTTAGGCTTGGTCATGACGAAGTTAGTTCTCTATTTTCAAGCTCGTCCTTACATGTACCAAAATGTGTCGGAGGTTGTTATAAGGGCGTTGGCTCTGGTTGCAACTCTGAGCTACCTCTTTCCTTCACAATGACTTCAAATGACTCTTACCTGTATATTGTATTATGTCCGTTTGGAAGACATTTATAACTGAGCGAACAATATTTGCAATGGACAATTCTTTCTGGTGTTTTTCAATAAGGAATTAAATGATTTTTAGGCATGGTGCAGTCGCAGAAGTTATTTAGTAGGCTTGATTCGTTAAGGTCGAAATTGTTGTTTCAATGTTGCCCGAATATTTGAGAAGCATTAAAAAAATATTTCTAACCTGGAGACAAACTACAACAATTGCGATATAATAATAATCTTCCAATAAAATATTTTGGTTGAAGATTCAGTGTATGGATGAACTAACAAAAGGGGAGGCGAAGAATCCTGTAATATGGGAATCGCGCGACTGGTGGCCGACTAGATAAGTGAACGTTATCCAACAGAGTGATTTCAGCTTGAAATGCCTACCATGAGAGTGTTGTTGTGTAGGAATCCGCATATATTTTAAACGGAGGCTAGATCAACACTGTAGCGCGCACCACAATAACGCCCGACAACGGCGACCTTGATAGCCAACGTTGACAATTTAATGTTATGACGATTATACTACCACCATTCAAGTAAAATAGGTTTATGTAATTTATTAATTTTGGACCACGTCGCACACCGCAGCTCGCATTCATCATGATGCCTGTAGACTAACAAAATTACTTGTTTTCCTGTATCTTAAGTGTGCTTCAACTGTCTGTTTCATTTATTTAACAAACCAAGTGCATGCCCAAGTAACGTTTGTTAACGCATTGCATTATTATCCTTGTATTTCTTTCATGTTAGTTTTTTTCTATTTACTCCATGTGCATGTAACCAATAGTGATTTTATGGGTACACACTAACTTTCTCTAAAATCCACTGATACTGATACTAATTTCTTTGAAGTCGGGGACACCAATCAATCGTCCGACAAAATGAAGATAACGGATCTTTGGCAGCCGCGCCTTCCTATGTGACGGTTTCCTTACCCAAGATACATGTCAGCACAGAATACGGTAAGGGTTGGTCGTTTCGCTAAAGGATTGATTGCGGTCATTACAATCTTGACTACAGCAACTCGAGGTCCACGTGGTCGTTAGAGCTTCTGAGCATCCCTGCCACTTGTTAGTCGAAAGAGCCGCCACTTGAGAGTCATAGCCTGCTCGCCTCACTAATATTACGTGTACGGCAATTCGCGTTCAGGTCAATCTCCTATTTTATTCGACAGTGATGTTTTGCTCGCAACTGCTTCACATCTAATAAATGACTCCGGACGTTTCCTGTCGTGGCAGTGAGTCTGTCGACACAGTGAGTTGACGCCTGGTGGTTACTTCCAGCCCCTGTACAACCTAAACTCCCAGTGTACTGCTAGTATCCTAGACGTTATTCATGTATGAAAGTGCCCGCTGAAATTTGAGGCCGTTTGAATTTGGTCTTCAATGCCGGATTGATAAAGTTGAGTGCGTAGCCATTGGCTCTTGGTACTCGTCGAATATATTTTACTTTGTCAACCTTGTCTTCACGTTCGCTGCAAAGCGTCTTAACGCGCCGTTAAAGTGTCCGTACGAACTGCGTTTTCGACTGATCGTTAGCCTAGATTGGAGTTGCGTTTGCTTCCAGTGCTATCCAATTGGACAGTGCTTGCATGACTTTGGTTATCCCAAACGGGGTACGTGAGCGTTTAGGTTGTCGTTGGTGTCCTCATGAAAAAGCCGGCTGATAATTTCGTCTCAAATGAACGACAGGCGTTGAAGGACTTCCTAAGCGTGTGCGGCTCATATCTCCAGAATATGCTACTTCTGTGTGGGGAGAATCGGTACATCCATGCGCAATCCGCTAGGCTTGCAAACGGCAAACTCTTTTATAGTCAGACATAACACGGACTCCATAGCACTGGATCTCCTCATTTGTTCAGTCAGTCAAACTTTTCGAGTTATACTCAGCCTCTGTCTTCCTAGATGTCGACATTGTTAGTACATATATTTGGTGCAGTTGCTGTGTTCGCTGGTTTAGACATCCCGTAGGGTGCATTTCTCGGAAATGGAGGAGAGACTATCTTCTAAATTTCATTAAACCAATTTCGATGCTGAGGAAATGCGAGGCCGAGGTCATATACTGCGGTTGGCTGAGTAGTATCGCGCAGACCCCTATTGGCTTTTGAAAGCGAAATGTGTTTTCAGTCCTTGGGTGCCCACCTTTCTGGGTAGCTGCAGTTGTGGAAATGTAGCAGGCTCTTAGTCGCACTAAACAGTACGTTTAGCATAGGTGAATAAGAAGGTGCGAGCACCGGAACACTATATTCATGCATGTTTCCATTGTCAGAGGTATTGACAACAACAGAACAGGCGACAGTTATAGGGCGTGTAGTCCAATCATCGACCGACGTTGCAAGACTGCAGGTGACTACGCAGGGTTCTGTACGCCGATTGACCAAGTTCTCATCTGAGGTCCAGGCTTTAATCAATTCTCGACCTGTCTTGTTTTCCGGCGCGGGTTTATAGATTTAACTCCTTCTACTCCTAAATGGAAGGTGCATATTAAAAGACCTCCCGTAAAAGTATCGTCTGTTTTTTTTCAAAGCGGTGCATGCGTACTGTGCTGATGACATCAATATTGTAGTTTAAATAAACATCGAATGGAAATAATCAGTAAAATATGTCACTGGATGTACACACAAAAGCATTCCCTTGTAAATGGAGTCAAATAAAGTACATGTTAATTTCAGAAGTCCGCCAAAGGAGCACGCAAAAAATGACAGCTTTTACAGTCTGCTCTGAGTACGTTAATACCCAGCTTTCAAATGGCTGCAGTATTTGGTGTTATGATTCCCTACCCATTTGCGTAAGTGTCAATAACTCCCAAAATCTCACTAACGGCAATAATTTCCATCGCGAAAGACACTAAGACTTATTAGTGGACGCGGTGTTCACGTAGTCATTTGCTCTGCGCGGGAAAACCCTTCGCATGGATTTTGTAGAAGGCTCTAACGGAGTGACCCATATTCCGCGAATTCAGTTCACGTTCGAAATAAAAAGTCATAGATAACTCATTTTTCTAGATACTCTCGGACCAAGTGTAACCGCGGATGCTTTGCAAATATCCGCCTGTCGCAAAACTTTATATTTCGATTTTATTATACATTTTAGGATTATCCATAGTTTCTTCAACGATTTCATCTCCGTTAATACCTGGCGGGGTCATGCCACAATCAATTGTCATGACGAGGACACTTAGCGGACAGACATGAAATTCTGATACAGTATATTTTCCGGAAATATATATCATCCAGACTTTGTCCGTCGAGGTATGAGGCGAAAAAGGTGAAGGCAAAGGACATTTTTAGAACCAACACCAGCTTTGCACTCGAATTAGCTAACTGGGGAACGCTGAATTACGTATATGGTCCATCTCAGCTCACCAAATGACAGCTGGAATGATGGCAGATGCCTACAACATTCCCATAAGTAAGCTGCGCATCCATCATGCGAACCCCGAGAACAATATTAGCTATTCAGTCAGAAAAAGTCATCTGCGGGTTGTCATGTTTTAGTTGTAAGGCAGTCTACTGTGGCCTAATCGAGCTACCTCTCTTCAGCCGCATATGTAAGCACCACGTACAAATCAAGAAATAAGAGTATTTTCTTCGTGTGCCATTCATAGACTGAACACAGAACACTTATTTTAAAATGTCAAAACCCCGACGTTTTCACGGAAACGGTGGTTTTAACCAAAATGTTTACAAATGAGCATGTACATTTAAATGTTGCATTAAAATTCCCCATGATAAACGGATGTGAACAGAGCCGATATTGGCATCGCACATGGATACAAAGTAAGCATTACCGTACGAGTCTTAACTCAATTGTTCGCAGATCGACTATTTGCTTCATTACAAATTAGGGCACGGAATACGGAAATAAGTATAAGAAAATTACTTAAGTACGAAAAAATTAACCTGTTTCCGATCACGCCCTAAACATTTATTCAGTCACTCACCACATCTGGTGACCATCCAAAACAACAGTACATGTAGGATGCTGTTGAATGCTTGCCGTATATGACCACCTGGGTTTCCCCGTTTTGTTACCAATAAGTAAGAGCTCATCGCGCAAATAAATGTTCTTTAAAAATGAGTACCTGCAACCAACACAAATTAGCAACTCTAGAATGGACGACTTTATGTTACTATCAGTAGACTCTGAATCATGTCGCACGGGGGAGATGGCAATGGGGCCTTTACGGATGGGTCAGCACGCAAGAGGGTGTGTTGGCGAGTTGCAAGAAAGCACTGACATTGTCTGGATTTTTACGAAAAGTCTTATCGTACACTTTCGTGTGGCAACCAAAAAATGAGCGTTAATTTAAAACATGAGCAAAACCAAATGCTAAGTAATAACAAAGATTGACAGTGTAATGTCTGCAGCGGACACAAGTGGATGCTAAGGTAAAACCCAGTATGACAGGATTAACAGCCTACCGAGAGTAAAGTGCCAAGATTTTTGTAAGAATTATACATGCGGACGTTCGATTTCGCCTATCCTTGTATGTCTTTATTTGCAGGGAGGCCCTCTGTAGCTCAAAATAACAACTGTAATATCAAAATGCTTTTACCGACCTCAAAATGGACTAAGCATCAAACTATAATTGTAATACGGTAATATACGAAAAGTAGCCTAAAGTAAAATAACCTGCAACTTGCAACACGCTGTTCATGAATGGATGATTATGAGTGGCTGAGTTTGACTTAAGTAAAAACATGTAAAGCATTGAATTTAAGATTAAACTTTTAAACTTAACATATTCTAGAAATGTTAACATAATTCATAACGTCCTAAATCCCGTAAAATATGTAAACGTGCGCAAAATAAGTATTGAATCTTCTCGTATTATACGAAGAAAGTGTAAAAGTAAGCTTCTGAACTGCATGAGCTTTGGATATGGAGTTTTAAGTCATATCAGAGAAAGTATATGAGTTTTTGGAGTCCACAGTAAGTGAGATAATGCTGCCTTTGAATAGGGGAATTTCACCTTATTATTCGATAAAACTGTCGTAGAACGTGAAATTTACTAATGTTGAACTTTGACCAACCGATAAGCGACAAATAAATATGAATATCATTACCACATGCAACCATTGGAAAACAGTTTGGTGTCCACCTACACGCCGTTTATTCCTACAACTTTCTGTTTCAATTTTTTCACAGGTAAATGGTATTTCTTCGTCATCATATACCTCCTTCGTTTCTATTTTTCGTCAGTAAAATTGTCAGTATATTTTTTGAAGAACTATTAACTCTACCATAAAAGATTAGTTATTTTCTTGTTGCATTGAAGTGATTTTCTGTTAAGGAGTACTGTTCGCTTGTAAATTAATGTTAACATTTTTTCTGGGTTCCTCGCGAGCATTGTAGCCGTCCATGCAATCGCGGTTATCAAATTCCGATGTTCATTTAGACGCTCGCGAAATATCAAACGTTAGAACGTTGGACACTTGAATTAATGCACACTGTTTCACATCCGAAATTTGGCTGCTGCGCATGTTGCTCTGTTTCTTGACCCAAAAGGCGTTTCCGGCACTCTCTAGGATTAAGATGATCGGGTGTGGATAGCTAAAAGTTAAATGGGCACCTGGACGACTAACTGTGACCCCTTTAATTTTCTTACCATCAGCCTACAACACTCAAATATCATAAAGACGCTCGTCATGCGACCGAGAGCTTTATCATTCATTGCCAATAGTCAGTAAGAGTGGCATAACATCAGCCTTCGAAAATATAGCAAACATATGTGCCATATATTCAGATGCATGTTCTGACGCCAAAGGGTGCTTAGTCTAGCAACAAGATTAACATGACTTCATACACAACTACTGACGGTGAACCTGTGTGAGGGTAGTTAGCCAGACGATGTGTACATTGAGCATTCTATATAAGTAAGTGTTTTCCGAGATTATAAACCGTGCATTCTTCTTATAAGTTTACTTCTGTAAGGCTGTTTTATTAATTGCCTTGCAGGGTTATTTGGGTTGTTTGAGTCACGTTAGGACGTCGGTATTAAAATGAGCGTCTTTTTTGGCATGTTTAGTCCAGAGTCTATATAAAGGGCTACCTATAAGTATTAATTTTTCTTACTATATTTCATTGCGTTATCAAATTTCAATACATTAACATGCATAACATATTCAACCTTGGGATTGTTTGATGAAGAATTTAGTTTTCCTACAAACTCCTTCTTAATGGCGGAACATTTTTTCTTAAAAGACTTTTTAGGTTCTTGAGTAACTTCAGTATCAGTATCAGTATATTTCAGGGAAAGTAGTTGTGTACCTTTGAAATCCCTATTGGTTACATGCAGAGGATATACAGGGAGGAAATGGAAAGGAAGTAACATGAAAGAAATCGGTGGGGAACAGCAAAAAACTGTACAGATTGAACACAGAATGTGATGCGTTAACAGAGTTTAGAGGCACAATAAATTACTTTGTTGATCAAAATACAGCGGACAGTTGAGGCACACTTAAGACACGGGAAAATAAGTAAAATTGTTTTGTCCACAGGCATCGTGGTGAATGCGAGCAGCGGTGTGGGACGTGGCTCAAGTTTAACAAATAACATAAACATGTATTACTTAAATGTTGGTAGTAGCATCGTTATAACACTAAATTGTCAGCGTTGGCTGCCAAGGTGGCCGTAGTCCGGCGTTATTGTGGTACGCGCTACAATGCTGATCTAGTCTCCATTTAAAAGTCTCTACCGAGCCTGACATAACAACATCCTCAGGCAAGGCATTCCAAGCTGCAACCACTCTGTTGGAGAAGAAGAATTTTCGGGTGTCTAGCCGGGCACCAGCCACAAGCAGTTTGAGTGGATGGCCTCTCAGGTTAGTCGTAGTCGCCAACTCGAAGAAGTCGCCAAACGCGAGGCAGCAGCCCTGATTGCGCACGATGCGGAAAGCTTGGATCAGGTCCCCACGTAGTTGTCAGAAACTCAAAGGAAAGAGGTCAAGATTAGCTAATCGCGTTTCGTAGGGTAGTGACAACTGCCCAGATAAAAGCTTCGTTGCTCGCCGTTGAACTTTTTCGAGTATGCCCAAGTCTTTAGCTGTCCAGGGTCGCCATGCTTGGATGGCAAACTCCAGATGTGGTCGCAGAAAAGTTTGAAAGACCTTGGCGAAGCAGTCTTCAGCAAAGGAGGAGAACGCCCGTTTGACAAGGTATAGCATGGACATCGCCGACTTGGCTACCTTTGAGCATTGCAGCGAAAGCTTAAGCGAGGTTGTGATCCATACACCTAAGTCCTTCTGGGCGTCGACTTTTTGCAGTGGTTTGCCAGTCAGACGGTAGACCGTGTGGTTAGGAGAACTGGTTCTGCCGACGCGTACGAAAGTACACTTGTTTACGTTGAACGGTAGATGCCAGTCTTTCGACCATTGTTCGAGGTGGTCCAGATTTGTCTGCAGTCGCGCCTCTTCAACTTCGCTTCCTATGGTAATCCGGATCTTCATGTCATCGGCAAACATTGCGACAACGCAATTCAGTTCGTTTGCGCAGTCATTGACCTATACGAGGAACAGTGTAGGGCCAAGAACAGATCCTTGGGGAACACCACTCTTAACGACAACCTCGGCAGATTGTTGGTCACTGACGTGGGTGGCTAGAGAGCAGCCGATTAAAAAGCTCCGAATCCACATCAGAAGCTTACCTCGCACTCCTGCACGGCTAAGTTTCTATAGAAAGCGGTGGTGAGGCACACTATCGAAGGCCTTTCTGAAGTCGATATAGATGGCATGCACCATATCTCCTCTATCAACTACCCTAGTCCAGTGTTCCACACATTAGAGCAGGTTTGTCACACAGGATCTGCCTTTTCGGAATCCATGCTGAGAATTGGAAAGCAAATGGCTTTCTTCAAGAAACTGCATTAGCTGTTGCTTTATTATCTTCTACATAATCTTACAGCAAATGAAGGTGAGGCTGACCGGTCTGTAATTGTTCGCAGAGACCCGACTTCCGCCCTTGTACAGCGGCGTAATCCACGCCGACTTCCAGTTAGGTGGCAGATATCCGGTCTCCAGGGATGTATGGAAAATCATGGAGAGTGGCTTAGACAACTTACCTGCGAGTTCCTTCAAAATCTTCGCCGGAATCTCATGGGGACCTGGTGATTTGGATTCCTTTAGCCTCAGCAACTCCGTCAGAACCATACCCTCAGTGAACTGGACGGTCTCTATAATTGGGGTGTCTTCGAAGGATTGAGGGGCCGAAGGGTTGAATCCTGTTTCGCTACTAAAAACAGACCGAAAAAATTCCGAAAGATGATCAGCTTTCGCCCTGTCGTCAGTGAGATGTTCGCCTTCAGCAGTCCTTATCAGGGGTATTGGGTCCTTGTTCCGCGTGCACTGCCTAATGTAACCGTATAATAATTTAGGGTTCTCCGCGGCACAGTTAAGCAGATCTCGTTCGAATTCCTTTCCAGTTTTGAGAATAAGAGCCTTGACTCGATTTCTTTTAATTTTGTACGCGCATATAGATGTGGGGCTCCTGTCAGAAAGCGATTTTTTCCACAGCCGTCGTTTTTATTTACTTCATTCTTCAAGGCTTACGTAAGCCATCGAGGTCTGTTAGTTACCCTCTTCCGTGAAAGCGGACAGTGGTTTACGATCAGCTCGTGCAGAATTTCTCGGAACCGTTGCCAGTCTTCGAGTATGCTCCCAACAAATATGGACTCCCACTCAATGCGTAAAATGTCAGCCCTCATTTGGTCGAAATCCCCGCGCCAAAGGTTTCTTCTAACTGTCCCGGGTTTCTTGGGCATGGAAAAAAGCGAGTAATCCCATAGAAGAACGACGTGGTCACGTTTACCTAAGGGGGGTAGGCATGACACCTCATCAATGCCGTCCTGTGACTTCGTAAGTATTCGCAAGAAATGACGGGGACTATTCCGAGCTTATATGAGGTTTTACAGTGAGTTCAAATCGTTATCTTAGCGTGGTTGTGCATCGACAGATGCCGTTAAAATCTAGCCCTAAGTCCTAATGGCAAACATGATGCAATTTTTGTCAATGACTTTAGCAACATACAGTCAAAATAAGCCCAAAGTCTAATCACACCACTAAACGTAATGATTGTCTAATACCCTAACTTTGACCATAACGCTGGTTTGAACCATAAATCCATTTTACGGGAAGCGGAAATGTTACGGTGTCATTGCCTATGGTGACTCAAAGCCTAGCCCTTACTCCTTATCAGTCAGTCAGTATCAGTCAGTATATTTGGAGTAAACGACAGAAGCCATTAAAACTCCATTTAGAGGGTACAGGTATAAAGTAAAATAGTTAAATTGCAAAACTTTTGCTTGCAGTTTTAGTAGGGAGAATTATTAAATCTAATAATGTAACATAAAGGTGAAAGGGGTATTATATTCGCAAAATAATTGCGAAAAACTTTGTTCACCGCATTCGGACTGTGAAAATTTTAATATGAGCTAAGTTTGATGCAAAAATAGGATCTGTTGAAATCATGTAAGTAGTATATTTGGAGTGTAGGGGTGTCAGCGGTGGGTTCACATAATGGTCGTGGTGGTCGCTCACTTGCTTGCAGGTGAGACTGCGCCTAGCGTCCACTTGCTGACACTCAACTCTCACCTGTGGCTCCACGTAGCTGGACTGTGCTCAGCGGCCACACCCCGGGCAACCGTCTCGACCGGCGGGTTAAACCAGGTGAGAGGGCCCTGTGCGCTGTGCCGTGTGCACAGGGTTTGCGGATTCCGCTGGATGGAAGGTCGGATGGGACCTTGCGTCGGCATCGTCGTGACGTGGTTCGTCTCTGCACGCCGCTGGACAGCCGGTGACGGGATGGATCTCCACATCGACATTGCCTTGACGCGCCCACCTACGCCGTCGGAGACCGCGGCTTACGGCGAATTCGAGTCGCTCTCCACTACAACCCGAAGTCGTGGTCCCATAGTGGAGTTCGGCCGTGCCAAAACGGCACATGGCAGCCCTTTTCAGGGATGGCACTGCCAGCCCCCGCGAGGGGAAGGGCCTAGAAAAGGTGGCCTAAACAATGCTGGGTACCACGCCGTCTCCAGGCTAGCCAGGGCCGCAGACGTCCAATCATGGTCGAAACAATAAAAATCGAAACAACAATACCAATAACAACTACAACAACCATCATCATTCTCCTCATCCTACCTCTTCTTCCTCTTCCTCTGCCTATTCTTCTGCCTATTCTTCTCCTTCGTCACCTTCTTCTCCATCTCCTTCCCGTCGCCCCACTCGCTGTCACCAGACTGGCAGGGTGAGTCCGCTCACTCTGGCAGCCTGGAATGCTCGTTCCCTTTTAGACAATCCGAGGAGCAACCGACCGGAACGGAGGACGGCGCTAGTGGCACGAGAACTGGCGCGCTACAAGGTGGACATCGCCGCACTCAGCGAGACCCGATTCTCCGAGCAAGGCCAACTGGAGGAGGTGGGTGCCGGCTACACCTTCTTATGGAGCGGTCGACCCAGGGCAGAGCGACGGGACGCGGGCGTCGCCTTCGCCATCCGGAACGACATCGTGGGACGACTGCCCTGTTTGCCTCAGGGCATCAACGATCGCCTGATGAGCCTCCGCCTGCCTCTCCGGGGTGGGAGCAAATTCGCCACCATCATCAGCGCCTACGCTCCGACGATGACCAACCCCGACGCCGTCAGAGACAAATTCTACGAGGACCTGCACGCCCTCTTGGCGACTGTGTCGAAGGCGGACAAGTTGATTGTCCTTGGTGACTTCAACGCCCGCGTCGGCACAGACCATACTGCCTGGAGAGGAGTGCTGGGTCCCCACGGTCTCCGCGGCTCAAACGACAATGGTCTGCTGCTTCTCCGCACCAGCGCAGAACACCGCCTCATCCTGACGAACACCTTCTTCTGTCTGCCGGAGCGAGAGAAGGCCACCTGGAGGCATCCTCGGTCGCACCAGTGGAACCTGCTGGACTCTGTCCTCGTCCGGAGGCGAGATCAGCGGGACGTGCTGGTGACGAAAGCGATCGCGGTTGGTGACGGGTGGACCGACCATCGCCTCGTCATCTCGAAGATGCGCATTCGCCTACAGCCTCGCAGAAGACCACAAGGTAAGCGACCCCCAGGTAAGCTGAATGTTGCCTTGTTGTCTTTGCCCGCTCACCATCTTCATTTCAGCAATGAGCTAGCTCAACGGCTAGACAACCTCCCTATCGCCGATGCCGCCGCTGCCGAAAACGCCTCCGTGGAGAACCGCTGGTGTCAACTGCGAGAAACGGTCCAGTCGACGGCGTTCGCCGTCCTCGGTCGCGCTCGCCGCCAACACCAGGACTGGTTCAATGACAACGACGCCGCCATCAGAAATCTGCTAGCTGAGAAGAACCGCCTACACAAAGTCTACGTAGATCACCCCACTGATGCCACCAAAGCTGCCTTCTACCGCAGCCGCCGCCAACTTCAGCAACGACTGCGCGAGATGCAGGACGCCTGGACCGCTCGCTAAGCTGAGGAGATCCAAGGGTACGCGCACCGCAACTAATGGAAGAACTTCTTCTCTGCGATCAAAGCTGTCTACGGTCCGGCGACGAAATGCACTGCTCCTCTCCTCAGCGCCGACGGCAACACTCTCCTGACTGAGAAGACGCAAATCCCGCAGCGATGGACCGAGCATTTCCGAGGCGTCCTCAACCGCCCCTCCGTCATCTCCGACGCCGCCATCGAGCGTTTGCCGCAAGTGGAGACCAACGTGGACCTCGACCTCCCGCCATCTCTCCAGGAGACCATCAGGGCCGTGCAGCAGCTCTCCAGCGGGAAAGCACCCGGATCGGACGCAATCCCTGCTGAGGTCTACAAGCACGGAGGTCCCCTACTGATGGATCACCTGACTGCGCTCTTCCAGGAGATGTGGCGTCAAGGTGAAGTCCCGCAAGATTTCAAAGACGCAACCATCGTGCATCTCTACAAGCGCAAAGGGAATCGCCAAGTCTGAGACAATCACCGCGGCATCTCCCTGCTGAACATCGCCGGGAAGATCTTCGCTCGCATCCTGCTCAACCGCCTCAACAACCATCTGGAACAGGGCCTTCTGCCGGAAAGCCAATGCGGCTTCCGTCGTCATCGTGGGACCACGGATATGATCTTTGCAGCCCGTCAACTTCAGGAGAAGTGTCAGGAGATGCGGACCACCTGTACTCTACCTTCGTGGACCTGACGAAAGCCTTCGACACGGTGAATCGTGAAGGACTGTGGAAGATCATGCAGAAATTCGGCTGTCCGGAGCGATTCACTCAGATGGTGCGTCAGCTGCACGACGGTATGATGGCGCGAGTCACAGTCAACGGAGCTGTCTCAGAGGCATTCGCAGTGACCAATGGAGTGAAGCAGGGCTGCGTACTGGCGCCTACCCTCTTCAGTCTTATGTTCTCTGCCATGCTGATGGACGCGTACCGCGACGAACGCCACGCGATCCGCATCGCCTACAGGACGGACGGTCACCTCCTGAATCCACGGCGGATACACTTCCAATCGCGCGTATCCACAACCACCGTTCACGAACTCCTCTTCGCCGACGACGCGCCCTGAACACCACCTCGGAAGAGGAGATGCAACGGAGCATGGACCTGTTCTCCGCCGCCTACGAGAACTTCGGTCTGGTCATTAACACGCAGAAGACGGTGGTGATGCACCAACCGCCACCCAACTCAGCCACAGCCCTCAATGCGCCGCCGCAAATCAGCGTGAACGGAACCCAACTGCAAGTGGTGGCGAACTTCCCGTATCTGGGCAGTACCCTCTCCCGCAACACCAAGATTGATGACGAAGTCGCCAACAGGATCTCGAAACCAGTCAGGCCTTCGGTCGTCTTCTAAGCACAGTTTGAAATCGCCACGGTCTTCAGCTCAGCACCAAGCTGAAGATTTACAAGGCCGGCATCCTGCCGACACTACTATATGGAGAGGAGACTCGGACGGTGTACGCAAATCAGGCGCGTCGTCTGAACCACTTCCACGTCAGTTGTCTTCGTCCCATCCTGAGGCTAAAGTGGCAGGATCGAATCCCCGACACTGATGTGCTGGAACGGACGGGAATCCTCAGCATCTACGCCATACTGAGGCAAATTCAGCTGCGCTGGAGCGGCCACCTGGTGCGCATGGACGACGAGCGACTACCCAAACGACTCTTCTACGGAGACGTCGCGACGGGTTCTCGCCGTCAACGAGGCCAGATTCGGCGTTACAAGGATACCCTGAAGTCCTCCCTGAAATGCCTGCAAATCAACCCGACCAACTGGGAGGAGCTCGCACTCGATCGACCGACCTAGAGGAGGACAGTGAAGACAGGTGCTGCGATATACGAAGCCAACCGCATCGCTGGAGCCAAAGCGAAACGTGAAGCCCACAAATCACAACTTCGCCCAGTAAGCAACGCCGCTGCACAACCGCTTCCAACGTGTCCTCGATGTCAACGGACATTCCGGGCTCGAATCGGACTTGTTGGACATCTTCGGATTAACTGCGCATCTCAAACGACACCAACCATCGTCCCCCGCCTGCCTCTTCCTCCTCCTCTCCGCCGCCAACTAACCCAGACAATTCTTCTGACCCACCACTTCCATCCTCCTTTTCCTCCCCCTCCTCCTCCTCCCCCTCCTCCTCCTCCCCTCCTCCTCCTCCTCCTCCTCGCCCACTGCTCCAACGGCGGCCGCTCGGCGACTGTCCCGCGCACAACAACCGACACTACCACCACCTGCCCCGACTCCAGGGATGAGGATTAGGACTACACCTGCCCTCACTGCGACCGCACCTTCACCTCACACATCGGCCTGGTCGGTCACTTGCGAATCCATCGCACAGCGACTGGCTAACCAGTGCGCGAAGCACCAACCTACACCCACCGCACTCGCCTCCACTGCCCCCACTGTCCTTGCAACTTCAGGCATCGCATGGGCCTTTTCGGCCACATGCGCATCCACGAGAGCGGCCTTGACCGCACTCCCGACACACCCACCACATCCAACACATCCACCGTGCACACCCCCACCCTCGTTCCATCCGTCCGCGCCACCACCACCACCGCCTCCTCTGTAGCTGACACTGACACCGCCGACTTCTCTTGCCCACACTGTCCACGCACATTCACCTCACGCATCGGCCTGGTCGGTCACTTGCGAATCCATCGCACAGAGACTGGCGACCCAGTGCCTGGAGCACCCACCTATACCCAACAAGCTCTTCTCAACTGCCCACACTGCCCTCACACTTTCGGGCATTGCATGGGCCTATTCGGCCACATGCGCATCCACGACGACCTGCGGTCGACAACCGCCGGTTACACCACACATCCACACACTCACTACCTCCTCCACCACCACCATCACCCCACCAGAAATCAACACTCACACACCTCATGCACCCAACTGCCACCTCCCACGCAAGTGGGAAGTCCGCATCTCGACTCGGTCCCCATTCGGCTTCGGCTGCACGGGTGACTTGAGTCCGAGACTATCCCGACACGTCAAGCGTCGTGGATAGGAAGGTTGCTGATTGACGCCCGCTCTCGGTCTACGCAGTTCGTCGCGTTGTGTGTGTGTGTGTTGTGTGGCGTGGCGGTTTGGTGGGCCGGGAACGGGCTGAAACAGCACCTTCCACGGTACTCTCACGCAAGGGAGAGACACGCCGTTCAACCCCCGTTGTGGGAAATCCTGGTGTTATGTGCATGGGGGGCCAGGTCGTGCCGTGGCGCGCGCAGTCATGGTCATTCGACCATGACAGCCATCGCGCCCATTCACCACTCCAGTCTGCTGACCGGCTTGGACAGCGGCTGGGCTGTGGGAGTGGGAAGGGTGAGTGAGTTCGACGACTCAGCGCATTTGCTCCTCACTGTAAACAATCTGACGCGCTTGAAGCTATCACGGTGCGCTAAAAGCCGTGGCTTGGAAGGTTGCCAACTGACGGGGTAACTTGGACCTCCTCCTTGACCGGAGGCGGTCTGAGAGTCAGGCTGCAATGGCTCCTTTGTAATGTGGCCTTTATGGCGCTCCCATCACAGTGTGGGATCCGAGCCAGCCGTTGGCGGCACGCCCAGTTGCGGCTTCGGCCGTGCCAGCCTCAAAATCTCAGTTGTGTTGGTAGAAATCCTGGTTATTTGTTGTGTGGACCAGGGGGTGTGGTTGAACGCCAAGGTGAGGATCCGTCCGAGCCATCCACCTGCGGCCTCTCTCGTCTCCGGTCTTCTTGACTCTGTCTTGACACCGGGCTCGGACGAGGGAGGAGGAGAGAGTGTAGGTGGATGCTACGCAAGTCTACCGGCACTCTAAACCCCTGCCTAAGTCACCGTCCCTGCTCCCATTGCTGCTGCAACTGTGGGGCACACGGTGGACATCATCGAAAACGATGGTCGAACTGTCAGTAGTATATTTATAGTCATTTCAATAATCCGTTTGTTCAGGCTTCGGCACTTTGGGTTGCCTTTCAGCAGGTGAGTATCCCGTTGTCTCTTGAACACGTTCACGGTAGGGGAATTAACAACAAACTCCGGCAAAGAGTTCCATTGCCGAATGACCCTCTGTGAGAAAAAGGAGGAACGTTGATTTGTGTGGCACAGTTCCTTTTTAAGCTGGTAATCATGTCATCTGAGATTGGACTTGGGTGCCATTTACAAAAAACGTTTCCCAGTCGACATTCAGATCAAGTCCTTTTATTAGCTGGAACGTTGCTATGAGGTCACCTCTGTCCTGCCTGTAGTGGAGGGGATAGATGTTCAAGGCCGTCAGGCGCTGCTCGTACGTGAAGTTTTTGAGGCCATGAACAGCCTTTGTAGCACGCCGTTGCACACCTTCAAGGATATCTATATCCTTCCGAAGCCACGGCCGCCAAGCCTGTACCGCATATTCCAGGTGCGGACGCACAAATGTCCCGCATACTTTGCCAAAGACACCTTTATTCAAATGAATACACGTTCTGCGTATTGCGCTCATAACGGACATTGCCCGCGCAGCGACTTTAGAACACTGCGTGGTGACGTTTAGATCGTCTTTAATTAATACAACGAGATCTTTTTGCACATCTAAGGTTTTAAGTGGTTGATTGTCCAGGAGATACTGTCGTGGGGGTGCATTTGTTCTTCGCCTCGCTGATACTACGTGCATTACTGCACATTTTTTGACGTTGAATTTCATGCACCATTTCTCGCTCCATGCGTGCAAGTTCGTTACGTCCTCTTGTAGCATCCTGGCGTCATATTCATCTTTTATCGCTCTCCAAAGTTTAAGGTCGTCTGCAAAGAGCGCTATGTCTGATTTCACTTCCCGTACCACGTCATTTACATAGATAATGAATAGAAGCGGCCCAAGAACGGACCCCTGTGGGACTCCACTCGTAACAGGTGCCCATTCTGAGCAGTAGCCGCCCGCAGTGACGTTTTGTTGGCGTCCGTTTCGGAAATCTTGAATCCAGTTCAGAAGATTTCCTCTTATCCCTACTTCTGATAACTTTTGAATGTGACGCTTATGTGGGACGCAATCGAACGCCTTGCTGAACTCAAAGTAAATGACATCAACTGGATATCCTTTATCCATGGCCTTTGACCAATGTTCGAGTGACGAAAGCAGATTTGTGAGGCAGAACCTCATTTCGCAGAAGCCATGTTGAAGTGAGGCGATGTGACAGCGGAAAGTATCGAGTGATGTAATCGATTTTTTAACTAGCCTTTCCATCAGTTTGCAGGAAATGTATGTCAAACTAACCGGCCGGTAGTTGGTGGGACATAGCCGTGATCCTCCCTTGTGGATAGGTACGACGTTTGCCAAGTTCCATGTGTCAGGTAGTTTGCCAGCTTCCAGCGATTTTTGGAAGATTATAGAAAGTGGCTCTGCTAATTCTTCAGCTAGCTGACGCAGGAGTACACATGGGATCTCATCTGGTCCAGGTGACTTGGCACGATCCAGCTTATTTAGCTCTGCTAAAACTAACTGCGGAGTAAAAAATACTGTGCTTATAAGTGGTTGGTTGGCGGGCAGTGGAAGAGAACAGGACTGGAGGGGTGGTTCTGTGGTGTAGACACTTTGGAAAAACTCGGAAAGAAGCACGGCTTTTTGAAAGCTATCGCTCACAATTCGGTTATTTTTGTCCTTTAAGGTTGCCAGATGGTCCCGGTTTTTCGTATTGCTCCTGATATATGCATAGAACGCTTTAGGTTTTTGCTGCGCCTCTTCTAGTAGCTTCATTTCATAAGAAGCTCGTACTTCTCGGATGAGTCTTTTGCATAAGGTTCGTTGTTGTCTGAATTTCTGAAGTTTTTCTGGGTTCTCCGTTTGTATGAATATTTTCCACGGCTTCCGTTTTTTTCGGATTTCCTTCTTAACCGCTGTTGTCCGCCAGACATTTCTTAACGACTTTGAGCTTCGTTCGGGGACAGCTACGAGTGTCGACTCCCACATTAATGTCATGTGATCACAAGGACCTAGGGGCGGGCCTGCATTTATTTCATCAACGCTTTCCTCGTTTTTAGTAAACACAAGGTCCAGGCAACTAGCTCTCTGACCTTCACGCATCCGAGTCACAGTTCGTACATGTTGAAACAGAAATTCATCAAATGTCATGTCTAATAGCATTTGGTCGAATCCTTGTCTGTGGCCCTTAACTGTCATAAGGTCCCAATTAATCCGCGGAGCATTGAAATCTCCTACAATAATAATGTTTTCCTTTCGACTGTCCTCGCGGAGTCGAGTGATTAACGCTTGATCTTCGTCGGCAGGTTGATTTGGAGGTGTATATACAACGGTGATAGTAAACTTTAGTTCTTAAAATACCCTAATCTCGTTAAAAATCCTCCCTAATGGCATAAAGGAAAAAAGATCTTTACGCGGAATGTATACATCGTGAATACCGAAAACGTAAACGAAAATCTAACAACAGACTGAGTTTACATTTCTTTGAGAATTAAAAACTTACATACAAACAAAATATATCACTACTAAAATTGTGAACTACGAAGAAGACATCATTTGCTGCAAAGTATATAGAAGAAAATGTATGTATAATGCGCTTTTAAAAATATATTCGAATGAACAAGGGCATCAACAATCGGTAGAGAAAATGCATATTAATTACGTGGTTATTTTCTGGTGAGTATATTTCTTGCAGGCGGCTAGCATAAGGTATCTTTAAAATACAACATCTAGTCCTGTCCGAAATACCACAAGACGTCGCGAAATAATCAGTCTAGCAGTCTCGTTCAGGTGCATACTATGTGCTATAAGAAAATAAAAAAAGCTGCGGAAGTTAACGGCATCATACATTTTCTAAATGATTTCGCGTCTACTCGCTGTCAACACAAATTTATGTGACAGGGCAAGGTGCTGTGTAGTGTCCGCAAACGACCGCATTAGTTTTGTCGGACACAGCGCCTCATTTCCCTTTTGATCTGCCGACGTTCTCGGCCTCCGGTATCGTATAAAAAATGACTGCTACTGGTCATGACACTAAACCCTGATATTAAAAGTTGAGTTACACTGGCCTGCTTGAGGATGTAGTTTGGCTTGTAGATGACAACTATAAAAAATTAGATCGAAGTCGTCGACTGGTAGTACTTAACAATTTCCGTGAATCCGTCCGGATATCGGCCCGAGCCATGGAGCACACCAAGATGTAATTGCTGCCAGTAGCAAGAATTAAGAACAAAGGAATACGGCTCTCAACCTGGCCGTACAGACGCTGCAGCAAGAATTCAAATATGAGACATTAATGTTGAATTCCGTTGATCGATCTTCTGCCTGCTTACTTCTCTTAATCATCCAAACGACTAAGATGCATGCAAAAAAATCAGGAAACAAAATTTTCGAAAGGGTCATTGCCCAAAGCAAAGGATATGTCATGTTCCAAGGAACATGCCGGTTCCGTTTTTGACATTGGGTGAGGAACTGTGCACATAAACGACAGATATGGCGGCAGTACCTAGGCAGAGAACTAGAGCTGCCATTGCGAGACTATATATAAATAATATTTCCTAAATATTTTTAGCGTAATAAGTTCTATGTCATACCATATCCACACTTATTGCACGGACCTTAAATTCTTGTTTGGAAAAACGTTTCGGAGGCCATCTGTCTCCTTTTCAAAACACTTGCGGTTGGATTCGCACAGAGACCGGAGGTGATTATTGGCTTTCCGATAATGGGACCGAAAACTGTACGTCCATGAACTGCCGGTACTGTAACGCGCATTCCAAAAAAGTGTCCGAAAACAAAGTAGTAAATTGGTGAAAAGACCTTCGACTTACGTTAATAGGTTTCTATTTTCACTGATTGCTACGAGATCTTCCGCTATAAAGTAGAAGTTTTTCTGGTCGTAGCACATGATTACGTAAATAAGATACATGATTTGTACGAAAGTGCTACGAGGCGATGTCACCGAATGTTGTGGAAACCAAAATAACTATGGAGGGATTAGTTGGATTCTGTTACTTGTTCAAGTAAAAGTTAATCAGATCCACATCAGAGAAAGGAGAAGCAGTGAAGCACATGCAACTTACTGAGTAAAATTCTACGAACACATACCGCAAATACGCAAATAATAGTAAGTTTACATCAGAGGCAACAAAAAGAGACGTAACCAATCCGCAACCTTAAGAAACAAAACCAACACAATTTGAACAATTGCCCCAAGAAGCCGAGCTTCTTACTGAATTCTTCTAGAGTGCTTACACAACGAACCCTCCACTGCAGCCCAGAATTACGTTGCTGCTTCTTAAAAGTTTACGTATAAGCACAACACTAGTTAATCCACAGTCGATTTCGGCCGAATTCATGAACGGTCAGATTTTATATCGTAGCCGTACCTGAAGCAGAAAAGCCCCAACCATTCACCATTGATTATAACCTCTAAAGCCTAAGCCCAGCACCTAATCCCTTACGCTAACCCCTTACAGGTACGGCTATGAAATGGCATCTTACGTGGGCCATAGGGGATTTCATGTGTATTTTGACGTCAACTAATCGAAGAATTTACGGAATCACTGGGCATCATTGTTCGAAAATCTGTCCAAGTCCGTAAATTTACCAATGCATGAAAACGGTTAATTATTATGACGATTCGAAAGGGAGGATTGCGGTCATACCTTACCAATTAATGACCGGTCATCCTGACATGAGTCAGCTACAACCGAATGGAAACAAATATTAAAACTCGCTTATAACCCCCGACAAAGTTTCCTGCCGAACAGGCTCAATTCAGCTCAACATTGTTTCCACAAACAGAGATGCTGCCATGCAAACACTATCATATCGCTCGGACATTAGACAATTCCAGCGGACGAAGGACAGCCAGGTGATATTATTTACGTTAATTTCAACAAGACATTTGATGGCGTCCACAATAGGAACCCATCTAGGTGCTTTGAGGTTTGATGGTTAAAGGTGACGCGGACTGAATTTCAGATTATGTAACTGACCGTAAACAAAAGTCTGTTGCATGCGATAACTACAAATAGTGGGAGTCTGTAAAGCTTGTGACGGCATAAGGACTAGTTCATGGCATCGGCTCTTTACTATGGGCAAATAACCTGGAACAGGATGTAAAGTCCGATATGGCGCTGTATGTAAACACAGTTAAATTTGAAAACAAGCATGTACAGCAGAATGTATTGGGGCCAACAAATTTCGTGACGGCTTTTCAACTGCAATCCGTCTCTGCATAACATAGGTAACGAATGAACGCGCACAGCAGTATGAATTTGTGCAGAATGGCAGTGCATAGGAGCAAGGTCAAAGTTCAAAATAATCAATAATCAGCTAAGACGTCCACATAAGCATCAAAAAGGAAAAAAGGAAGGCGAAATGTTAACAACAAATCGCAGTCAGAGGAAAATAGAGGTGTGAGATTACCAGGGCAATTGCAGATTGATCACGTGATCTAACTGCTTGCACAGATCTGGTTTCTCCCTCCGTATGTAGGCTGCTTCCAAATAACGCAAGGTTCGAGTTGTACGTGCTCGCACAAGTACTCGAAAGGATGCTTTAGGGTCGACAACATGACAGCTATCTAACAGGTGTTTCGTTATAGACGAACGGGGGGTTCTATTTTCCTGTTTGAAAAGCCAATTAGGCAAATGCTCAGCGGCCCTGGTTGCCAATTGCCTTTGCGTTCGCCCAATGTACTTGCATCCGCAAGTGCATGTGAATTCATACACACAATTGGGGGTGGCGTGCATTGGCAAGGCATCCTTTGCCCGGTTAATTGGAAGGCTTTTTGTGGAACTGATGAAGATAAGCTCTGCTGCGTTGTACTTTCTTTCTATAGTGCAACGCAAGCGTCGCTTGATTGTGTTTGAGACGTTGTCACCCTTAAAGTTAGACATATTATAACGGGCTTCTTCGGAACGGACTGTTCCGTCAACATTGGCCATAAATGGTTGCTGTACTTCTGAATGAAGCGTGCAAGATAACCACGATTAAGTAAGGCTTCTTTGATACGGGCAGTTTCTGTATCTATGATCTCCCTGGAGCAAATATTTCTCGCTCTTTGAAAAAGAGTATGTACTAGATTACGCTTCCATTGTATTGGCGCAAAGCTTTTGAAATGTAGGTATTGCCCTTTCCACGTAGTCTTGTGGAAGACGGAGCGTCTTATTGAACCATCATCCTCTCTAAACATGAGGACGTCCAGGAAAGGTAACTTGTTAAACTGCTCCATTTCCATCGTAAATTTTATTTTAGGATGTAGATTATTCATCAGGCAAAGTAGGTCGTAGGCCTCTTCCTTGTTATCAACAATCGTGAATATATCATCCACATATCTCCTGTATAATGTTGTCATGTTTAATTCTGAGGACACCTTATCTTCTAGGATACTATTGAGTATTGCAGAAGAACAATATAATTCGCTCACGTTGTGGGTGCTCTGGCACATGTAATTCGATGTAGAAAAATGTGTGTTAAAACATATAAGCACAACATTGCAATGTTCAAGGGTCTAAGTGCGGACGAGTGAACTGCAAGAGCATAGTGCTGCATGCGGTCTAATCAAGTTGTCCAGAGGAACGACTTAGGCATTTAGCCCTTCAGTACTGACCCTGCTAAAACATCAATCCACACATTCAATGTTGAATGTCATAAAACTATCGCACTAAACATAGATAATCTCAGCTAGGCAAGCCTTTTACATACAGTAATTTACTGGAAGGTTCTGGAATTTGGGAAAATATTTAAAATATGCACTTAACTAGTTCACATCTTTTATCTTCATTATTGACCGGAGAAGTGGTAAAAGGTTGAAAAAGACCTAAGATGGGAGGTCGTTCCTCCGTCGTAAAATGCGCATGATACTGGACGTGGGCTCATTGGAATATTTGCAGCAACTGCAAGCTGAGTGTGTGGTAAACTTTTATGTGGGCATCAGGTCGGCGTTCTGTCGGTCTTTTCTGTCCATGCTTTTTGAAAGTCTGACCTCTCAGACCATATCCTCCTTAGGGACTGGCCTACCGTTCCAGCAGTCAGATGGTAAGACCGTCGCGATGGAGGAATAAACCAATGCTACTTGGAGACCAGTCGGCGGAAATAATCTTGACCATGCCGAATGGAGATTCACGTTCACCTGTTACAGCTTAGGCACTCCAGATACGATCCTGAACTGGCGACCAGCACGTTCACCGCATTAACGTGAAAGCGTCATTCTTTTACCCGTCCGGAGCACAGATAGTCATATTAAATTTAGGGAAAGCGATGGTTTGATTGAATATTCGAGTATATTAAGGAACAGAGGCAGTTCAAATATGATATTAATGAAATCGTGTAAGAGTTTTTCTATTAAATTGTGCCTTAAACATGATTCTGATTACCTAAAATGAATGTCCAGTGCAAATAGAAACGAAGAGCCGAGTCCCAGGAAGTAGTCTTGAAGAAGGAGACACGATCGCAGTGACAAGAGCTTTATTAGCCTGACGTTTCGGATTCCTACTCGAATCCATCATCAGAGACAAAAGAGCAGAAATGGGTGGTTGTTGCACAAGGGGCTGCGGTAGTTATAAGATGCAGTAGCCATGCTACCGCATACCTATGAACGTTCACGGCTCCCCCCTTCATCCGAGATTGTCGCACTTGGTGTGATCATTGCTTGATGGCCGACATTCGAGTCGATAATTGCTGCAATTTCATCACGTGCGTTGGATGTTGGCGTGATGATTGCTCGACCATCTGACGCATCGACCGCGGTGTTGGGAAAAGTGTTCACCTCTGCGCTCCCCGCATGCCTTGTTACTCCGCCTAGGCGAAGTTTCAGTACTTAGTATGGAATGGTAAGATCGTTGCACTTGTTAATGAACTGGGGGGCAGTTAACCATGATTTCAGTTGCTCCCGGTTCACTCGATTGTCAACTCATGCGAGAATTTCGGCCTCATCGAATTTAAATGTGTGGCCGGATCTCGTCGAATGAGCTGCAACTTGAGAGCTGACGTCATTTCTGCGCAAGGCTGCCGCGTGTTCGGCCAATCTCGTTCGGAGCTGTCTTCCGATTTCTCCGACGTAGTTGCTTTGTCCGCAACTGCACCAGATCCGATAAACGACTCCGGGCGTTTCTAGCCGTGGCAGTGGGTCTTTCGGTTTAATGATCAGACGCCTGATGGTTGCCTCCGGTCTGTGCGCCACTCCAAGACCAAGTGGTGCGATAAGGCGGCCGATAGCTTCCGAAATATTTTTGACTTACGGAAGTGCCCGCCAAGTCTTGGTGTCCGTGCGGTTAGGCCCTTTTGTCCCTTTCGCGTATGCAGCGGTCGATGAAGTTGCGCGGGTAGCCATTGGCTTTGAAGTCCCGTCGGAGGTATTGTAGTTCAGCAATTTTGTCTTCCGGCTCACTGCAGTGCGTTTCGACACGCCGATAGAGCGTCCATACACAACTGCGTTTGTGGCTGCTTGGGTAGTTACTGCTGAAGTTCAGCACTTGCATCGTATTTGTCGCTTTCCTGAACACTTTGGTCTTCAGTCTACCACAATACTTACGGCATACGAGGACATCCAGGAAGGCCAGCTGGTTGTTCTCTTCCTCCTCCATCGTTAATTGAATGTCCGCGAAGACGGCGTTGAGATTTTCTTGGAATGTCAACACCTGATCCCGTTCGATGACGACGAATGTATCATACACATACCGGGCCCAGAATTTCGGTCTGTGGTGTTGGAAGACCAGCGACTCTAACCGTTGCAGGACCGTCTTGGCGATGAATCCCGAAATCGGCGAACCCATTGGTGCGCCCTTCACCTGTTCGTAGATTGTCCCGTCGAACGTTAAGTACGTCCTGAGACAGAGCTTCAAGAGCTGAAGTACTTGGGCGTGTCCAAGACGGTTCTCCGTTTCATCGTATTTGCTTTGTAGGAGCAGTTCAATTGTCTCGATCGCCAGGTCCTGGGGAATAGAAGTAAAAGGGATGTAAGATCAAAAGATACCATGACCTAATTTGGATGGATGCTTACCCCTTTGAGTTTCTCCAGAAATTGTGCTGACGAAGTGACCGTGGTGTCCGACTCAGCGGTCAGGAACTTGAGACGCCGGAACAGCCACTTACCCAGTCCGTACGTTGGAGTCCCATTGAGCAACACGATGGGTCGGAGAGGAGCGCCGTCTTTGTGCACTTTAGAGAGGCCATAGGTTCGGGCCAAAGCCGTATCTTGGGGTCTCGTCATGCGTCTGTCGGTCGGTGTTATTGCACCTGAGTTCTCCAAGGCCAGCATCATAGCATTAATTTGGCGTGTCAGCGCCTTTAAAGGGTTCGTTGCACATGGGACATAGAACTGTCGATCCTCCAGTAAACCTTTGGCTTTTTGAAGGTAATCTGTCCTGTCCAGTACAACTGTGGTGCGTCCTTTGTTCGCTGGCACGATGACCAGATCTTTGTCGGCCTTGAGTTCTCTAAGCGCATCACGTTCGACCTTGGAAAGCACTTCCCGCGGCCTGTGGGCCATCAGGAGAGACGACACTTTGTGTCGGATGATGTTCTTCGTCTCCCCCGTTGTCTCCGTCTGACAAAGGATTTATTCCACTGCTGCAATCATGTTAACAGGTTTGGCGTCAGCCGTGTTAAATGAAGCTTCGTGCCGTAAAACCTGCATCTGATCCTTCGTCAGCTCCTAAGTTCGACGATCCACCGCTGCGCTTTCTTCATCACCTTCATGCGAGATGTGTGGGAAGGGGAATGTATCTTGCAGAAATTTCGTCAACGGATATTAGAACGAAAATCTAGCTAAAGTAAGCTGATTTCGGAAGCTCGATCCAGTAATCAGAAAGCGGATACTTTGCGGTAAAATTCGCTCAACTGACCGACACGCACTGTATATAAAATAGTTGCTGGCTGACATAAGGAAGTGCAGACCCGTACCGGAGGTAAGCCCGCGTGCTTTAGAGTTAAATACTCCAATTGTCACAGTACAGCAGTTCCGATATCCGAAATTCCACGGTGGGCTTTCAATAAGAAAAAATGATTACTTAGGTTTTAATTGCCATTTACGTGCGCCAACAATCGCCTCTCAATGCGAAAATATAGCTGTTTTATTAACGACAGTTTAGTGAAAATTCCTAACGCCGGAAATCTACAGAATCTCTATTAACTGTCGCTTAACGGTGATTGATATGGATAAATGATGGGCCAACGACACTAGCTAGGTAGTGTTTATTCTTACCACTTCAGTAGAACATGTGATATATTTTTTGTACTACTATACCGTCAACTTCGTAATTGTAATATGTTATATTAAACCTGAATTTCTCCCAATAATTCAAGAACATGTTTAATAGAGGAAAAAAGGCGACAAACTAGAGATTTAATTCCACAGCCCTCTGGGTTTCACCATCGCACATATAACACATTCTTCTGACATCTATTTGCTTATCATGCGCCCGATGATGTCCACCGTGTGCTCTTCAGCAAGTACGGGTCCTTTGAAACGAGAAACGAAATCATAAGTCTTCCGAGCTACGAAATTTTCGTCTGTATCCCAATGTTAAGAGCACGCCGGTCGACAATTATTCACGCGTGGATTGCGTTTTTTTTCTGATTTACGGAGTCATCTAGTCGAAAGTCACGATTCTTTGGCGACGAAGGCTGATTCTCAGGAAATCAGCCATTCCTCATTTCTGCTGTTTGTGAGCCAACAAACTCGGATTATCCTTCCATCGAAACATCTGGAAGAACTCCTGCATAGACTAAGTTACTCTTCTAATCTTACTCGTTAAATGCATCATATTTCGAACGTACTCGATAAAGTCCTAGAATTAAACAGCTGCTTCCTGTATCTGCTCGACGATCCTCTTTAAGACGAAGATATTCACCTTATACGGTGACCCTCAACGACCAGAACGAGATTAAAGGCTTTTCGTCTCGCATCAACGACACAACTCTCAACTGATTGTTTTTTTCTTCTTGGATATACCAAAGTAGCACAAAATGGCGAACTCAGAAGTAGTACGAAATGGTGCTCACTGTGGAGTCGAACCGCGCACCACACTAGTGAAGACTGCGACGCAGACAACTGCGCTATCGCCACACGCTCAGGCGGCCACTCTTAAAGCCTTACAAATTGGTTACGACAGACACATGCGGAAACCTCTTGCAGCGGTTGTCAAACGCTAGCCTCAACGTTAACTCAACTAGAGGAAGAATTTAAAAACAGGAAGAATTTTATCCAGCAGACTTTCATGACAGAGGATAAGTTGGTAGCATCTACGCAAAGAGTAACGAGAAGTAGAGCACGAGACACCCAGTATAGGCATTATCAGACACCGGCTATCAGTCGTGACGTGAAACCTCCAAAATCAGCAAAGAATGAGAAAAAGGCGACAGGAAAGACTATAGAGAAAGGTAGCAAAACTCCGAAGGCGAAGATATCAGACTCGCCAGAAAGGAAACCGACGGCCGAGGATGAAAATGAAAAAGATGGACCGAAGAAAGAGGAAACCAATCCCCAGACAGAATGCGCACCTCCTGAGCCTAATGTGAGGGGAGCGTCGACCAACAGAGGACCGAATAAAAATGAGCTCAGAGTGGGAGTGAAAGTACATACTCTTACGAATATTCCTGCTACTAGCGTCGAAGCCCAACTTGGGGAAGCCTCATCATCGGTCAGACCAATTATCCAACACAATTCGTCGGATGGAGGTGCTGTGGACAGATCACAATGCATAGTCGGCCATGGACTTCGTGAATCAACGAAAAATAACCCCAGATGTAGTATAAATGATGATATCATGAGCTTGCAAATGTGGATCACTTGAGATTCGAACCCGGGTTCTTTGGTCATGGAATTTGACGCTCAACCATTGAGCTCAATGGGTATGACTGTCTGATGACGTTTAATAAGCCAGAAATGGCCATTCAGGTCTCCCTTGTCTATGTCGGCTCCATCTCATCTATGTCTACTACTAGTTGCTGTGCGACTGCCTGCGGGGGTTCTAGTATGAGCCCCAAGGCACAACGGAACGAGCATGTTCCGTAACCTGATCGGCGAGCGCCCACTGCCATAATTGATATTCCCGATCACAACTGACAGGACAACGAGCCCATGGCTCAATGGTAGAGCGTCAAACTCCATGACCAAAGATCCCGGGTTCGAATCTCAAGTGATCCACACTTGGGGTTGGGTATGACTGGCTGATGACGGCTAATAAGCCAGAAATGGCCATTTCGGTCTCCCTTGTCTTTGTCGGCTCCATCTCGTTAAATACATTGTTCCGCTGTTTAGAAATTCCCATTTATTTTGAAAAGCGCAATATCCCGAAAGCGTCATAAATGTTTTAAATTTAGTAAACTTCGTTTATAAATGCATAGGCTGTATTCTCATGCTAAAATGGTAAATATGAATGTATAATCAACACGACGTCCAATAACACTGTTTTTGTGAAGTTTACATTTAAACATCATTTAATAATTAGAGTGATTTCATATATGACTGTTTCTCAACGGCCTACAATCCGAGTTAAATTTGAAAACAGTTTAGAAGCGAGTAGTGAGAATGTTGGCGCGTTTGAAATAAATGGGATGGGGTTTAGCAAGAGAAGCTGGCATTTGCTTGATTTCAACGATGCAGACGTCGTAAGGACAAAAGATTGCGTAAGGTGTCATGCCATGAGGCCGGTCGGTGCTTAAAAAATTTAAATAGAACTGACAGGCGTAATCGTAAACATTCTATGTTCTGCTTAGAGAGAGAACTTTTCTTCCGTTTAATTAATTTACGCTGTTTGTTCGTTTTTGATTACGTTGAGTTTCAGATCGGCATCGAAATGTTGCTGCATACTTCAGTATTTTCAGTGTTTTGGCTGGATCGCATATAAAGACAGATTCTGAATGACCTGTCTGTTGAGAACATTAAATTAAGATTGTTCTGGAAGGCATTTACTGATCTACTGAATATTCAGGCGCTGCCTTACGCGACGATGGCCGTTTTGGTCACATATGCAGACTGATTCAAACGCTACAACAAAATTCAGCAACGAATATGCCTTCGTAGACTGATCTCGATTTACTTTGCACTTTTGCACGGTGAGGCCAGGTAAAAATTTGACACTTTTGGCTGTTTCTTTTGCCTTCCTAAGAAATACTAATATGTTTCTACCGTAAACGTATGAACATACCTTTCGCTATACATTGAGGCCATTTCCGCTGTTTTGCTCGCTTTCAGGCTCCGTTCTTCCATAATGAATGCATGGCAGAGCGCGCATATAAATACTGATATTTTGCTGAAACTGTTAATGTTTCCTCGTTCTATTTCTGAATAAAATATGCACAGAAGCTACACTTCACGACAAATAGTGTTTTCTAAGTTTAAAGCTGGAAATGATCCCTTGTTGGTTGTCATTTATGTGACATCAGGTAGAATTTCCCAAACGCCAAAATATTTTCAGCCCAGATAAACAAAGGAATCGTTATTTGCATTATTACTGCGCTTTCGGGCATTAAGTCGCACAGATCTACTAATTTGATATTTAGAAATTGATAAAAACTCTGGTTTCCTCACAAAAACGTCTGTGTTAGCAAGTTGGTCACTATGGTTAACATCGGACGTAGAATACATTTTCAAGTTGGGATAAATTTGTTTATAAAAACTCTCGCGGGTAAATTACTGTCCTTTCAATGAAAAAGTGGCTCAGATGCTTAACCAGCTTCTGGAACATGCATTAGCATAGGAAATTGCACGAATATATTCCACCGTCAATTTTTGCTAAAATTTACAGATATTTTACTTGATATAAATACGTAAACACAATTTTTGCACAAGGAAATTTTATTGAAGGAAATTGATAAGCAAAAAAATGTTCAACGATAAAGAGGCTTTGATGTATAAAATAAATGCACTGGTCAGGAAAGTCATGTTTTGACATGCATCACTTTTGTCCAGCTGGCAGTAGACTGAAACAAGCAACCGTCTAGGTGGCATTCCAGAAAATAAAAGGAGTGCATCGTAGAACTTATTAATATCCCATTTATTACTGTCTATAGCTGAAATAACTTGTACAATACAACTGTTTTAGGTTAGGTGCGAAATTTGACATATATATTTCGATAAAAAGGCATCAGTTTAAGAGGAATAACCGTGTAGTATTCGCTAACTGTCACGACGCAGTCAGTAACATGCCACATTTCGACCGTCGTTTCCGACGGTAGCCGCCGTATGCTCCACAGTCAGCGTTGAAACAAGAACGGCAACTATCACTTTAAAGTTATATTTGACTTTCGCTGCATCTAACGCACTCCCTCCCTCTTCCTCTTTGGGGTCCGATGTTCAAACCGTGCCAATAAGACAGCTACCACGATAAAATGCCTAGGTGTACCACCGCACCCCCCGGTCCACAATACACACTGACAAGGATGTCATGCACCAATAAAAAGACGAGTGGCGGCCTGGATCCCAATTTGTCTGCGCTAGGTTGTGCCACGACTCCCCCACTGTTAGCATTTGTTTTGGGTGTGGAT